AATGACTGTGAGCTCAACGCATTGTGAGTAGTGCCAGAACCTCAAACACTATAAGACTGTCACTGTCGTCCATGCACCCCACATGCCTCTCATTGTTAGGTATTTGAGTAAAGCCTGTATCTTATTGTATTCTAATTATTTCTCATTTTTAACAGTTTTCTGTATCAGTTCTCACTTGGAATTTCAGAAGTTAAAAGGAAGGCCTTGCTTCACTTTCACAGTAGGTAACTGCAAGCCCAGTAGGAAGGTAGTTAATGAAGCTTCCTTGGTTCTTCTGAAATACATATTTATTCTCATCTTTAGCAGCCTATTATGAAAACTTCCATAATTAAGAATAAGTAAAGTATGGGAATAAATAGTACATGCCCCAAGAGATAGAGGTCTGTGTAATGTTTTCTGTCCATTTTGAGCTAACCCACTAATCTGCAACAGTCAGCCAATTCACCACAGACCTCCTTCTGGGTGTGGAGATCTCAGTGTTCCATTAATTTCTCTTCCCTTAGGCACTAGTTCATAATGAGCTGTGTGGCTGCATTATTGATATTAGCTGCTCTGGGACAGCCTTCCTTGTACTTGGAACAATAATAATATTGCTTAAGGAAAGTAGAGACAACGTTAGACACAGTTGGAAAAATGAAGAAGGCAATAGTTCACATGCAACCTCAAGGCACAAAGCGGCTACTGGGAAGAGATCACAGGGAACAGAGAAGAGAGGGAAGAGAGTCAACTAAAAAGATAGTTTACAAGTGCCATAATGAAATTCAACTCTGGATATGCTAATTGAACATTATTAATTAGAATAAAACCAACAATGAAGTAAGTTAAAAGTAATAATAATAACAATGGATGCCCAGTGAGGGTAAAGCCGACTAGCTGCCTATTAACCTGCTCTAGCACATTCTTGTTGACTCTTTCACAAAGCTGTGTTTATCTGTTAGTATTTGATTGATTTTTAAAAAGGAAAGAGTATTAGTGTGCTTAAGACAGTACAAGGAAAGAAGTGTTTTGTGTGTCTTTAAGGCAGTCACTGACGCTGAGTTTGAAGTCAAGCATCTCTCAAAGGTCCATAAAGGCTGAACACTCCATGAAGTAACACGTGCCGGATCAGGGACCCAGTGACTGTGTTTATCCATATGATTGACATGCATTGATTTACTGCAGAGCTGTCACTTGGTCAAGCCAGCAACAGGTTAAAACTACCCTTCTAATGCAGGCATTACACATTTGATATTACCCAAGTCATCTTAAATCATACGTCACTTAACCAGGACATAAGCCATAAAAACTGTAAACAAGGCACACCTGTGGTTTCTTTCTTTTTAAATTGCTGGTGTGTGTTTGGCATGTGGTTTTGGGTGTGTACAGGTGTGCGTGCATGTTCATGTGTGTTGGCGCTAGAGAACGACTTCAGGTCATTCCTTTACTTCTTTTTAGTTTACTGCTTTGTGTGTGTGTGTGTGTGTGTGTATGTGTGTGTGTGTACCCAGGTGTACATGGCATGTATGTGTGTGGACGTCAGAGGAAAACTTGTAAGAGTCACTTCTTTCCTCCTGTCCTCCATCCCTAGGATCAAACTACACTCACCATGCTTAGGGTCAAGTACCTTCACCTCCCAGCTCTCAGCAGCCCTATCTTAGTTTCAAGCCAGGGTCTCTTACAGGACTGGAGTTCAGCAGGCAGGACAGGCTGGCCCAGTGACCTGCCCTTCCCCACCTTACCAATGTTGGAATTGCAAACATTTGCCATGGTGTCTGCAGTTTTACTGTTGACATTTTTATTGTGTGTTTATCTGTGTGTGGTGCATTGTTGGCCTCAGGAGGATGCTGTAGCACACATATGTAGATCAGAGGACAATTTTGTGGATTCAGTTCTCTCCGTCTGCCTTTACATGAGTTTTGGGAGTCACTCTTAAGTTGATAAAGCAGGGAAGCAAGTATCATCACCCTGGGCATTGAACAGGCCCTGGTCAGAGAGTTTCGTCTTTTATTTTTTTATGCATTTGTTATTCATTGATTTTCTTTTAACTAAAAGAAGTGAATGGAGAAGCTCATAGTACTGAGGAAATAAATAACTCACAAATAACAAGAATTTACTGAAGATAACAAGATTCATAAGCCTTTCCCCACGTGTAGATTCAGGAAAATGGCTTCTGGGATGCTCTTCCACCAGCAGCCAAGTTACCTGCAGGTCACACAATGAACTCCAAGTATGTAGTGGTCATGAGCTATCACTCATGCTGGGGCAGCTCTTTGGTGATACAGCTGCATCTGAATCATGTCTGCATTTCTATGTAACCCTTCATCTATATTCCAGTAAGTAGCCTGCATTAGTTTGCTAATCAGACTCTGGTGGACTCACTGCTCTGCTGTTGTTGCCCTATCTGGAGTGAGTAGACATCTTTCACTTCTCCTAGGAAAAATCTCACAGCAGTATCAGGACTGAACTCATCTCCTCTTACTTCCAAGGTAAGTACTTTACTGACTTCTCTCCAGCCTTGTTTTCCAATTTTAAGAAACATTTTTGAATATTTTATTTAGCTTTACTTTTATATGTATGGGTGTTTTGCCTGCCTATACAACTGTGTACTGCAGGCAGACAGTGCTTACAGGAGCCAGATCAGGGCCGTAACTCCACTGGGACTGGAATTACAGAGGGTTGTGAGCCACCTTGTGGGTGGTGGGAATCAAAAGTTGGTCCTCTGGGAGAGTAGCCGGGTCCTCTTTACTGATGAGCCATTCTCCCAGCTTTCTGTCTCTGGGTATTTTTTTTTAACAGAAAAATGTGCTGCTGCAATGTTTATAGAAACCACTCTGAAACTACAGGTCACACAGGTCAGTAATTTCAGAGAATTCTTATGTCACAGATCCATAGTACCTTCAAGATGTAAAGTCTTCAAAAAAAATGCATGCTTACAATTAAAGAATTTCTTCATACTTATATGGAAGTAAATCAAATCCTTCAAAAAATTGTATTTGACTTTTGAAGTCATGCTGTAAATTCTAATATACTAAGTTTTGTATTCTCGAAAGTTGGTAAATGTTTCTTCAAAACCCTTCCTTAGAGTCTACACAGTGCCCCGTTTTTCCAGCCATGGCCTGGGAGTCTGATGTCTCCAGCTGAACCCCATCTCCAAACAAGTAAGGACACACTAGAGTACAGTCACAGTCGTGTGCATCTGGGATTTGCTAAAGTGATCTGAGAAAGGCCGGGAGTGGGAAGGAGATGGGACAGAAGTGATAGAGATTAGCTCTGAGGAACCAATTGCTGGGGCTGGGGGTGGGGCTGGAGGAACTGGTTACTGATATATTTGAGATTTCCCACAGATATATTTTTATAGCTTTGAACTGAAAATAAATATATAAAATGGTCCTTCTCAAGGTGCTTTGCTAAAGATAAGAGGATTTCTCTTGTTCAATGTTAAACGAAATCTTCCCATTCCCACATCAATCTAATAAAAAAAAAAATGACCCTTTCATATCCAACCAAAAACTGGCTAAGAGCTGTGCATGACAAAATTTAATGCTAGGCTGCAAACTGTCACTAAGGCAGAAACAGCTAAATCTCTTGCATCTTCATCTACTAACGATATATAATGTGCATGGGAGGGTGTATTTCATACTGCTGCCTGATTTTATGAAGTCAGGTGGAAAATAACAGGGAAGGTGAGCCCTGCTCCCCACATGGTGCTCAACAGCAATGAGAGCTCCAGCTCCAGGTCACCCTGTCCTAACATCAGAAAGTCATTGTACATCAGCTTTGAGTCACAGCTGGGCTCAGCAGTTAAAAGTAATAAGGATGAGTCTTCCCCACGAAACAAAACCATGAAATTCTCAATTTCAAAACAGGCAAGTACGTCAGCACAAGCTCACTCCACAGCAGTGGGGACAAACTCATTCCACAGCAGTGCTTTCCTTCCCTCTAGAATACCTTCTTTGAAATGCTGTTACTGAAGAAGTCAGAACTGTCTCTTTGAGATTGACTTCTTGCCTCGTTCCTTCACAGAGAGCAAGTCTTTCAGATAGAGAGAAGGACTCAATGACCAGATATGATGACCAAGAATGAGTCCTGTGGTCCTATGGCCTGGAATCCCACATTTGAGACAAGAACAACACTTCCAAATGGCTGCTAATGGGTAGCTACAGCAGTCAGTAGACTGCTGAGGTCCAGGAAAGGAAAGTCAGATAGAGCAAAAGCATTGCCAGTCCCTGTGTGCCCAGGCAAAAGCTCTAGAGTCCTTAAGCTATGCTCAGAGATATACTCGATACCAAAATACTCTACAGGTCAAATTAAAACAGGACAGAAAATCTTAAAATTGCTAGCTACCATGTGCCTAGGCAAAAGCTCCAGAGTTCTTAAGCTATGCTCAGAGATATACTAGATACCAAAATACTCTACAGGTCAAATTAAAACAGGAGAGAAAATCTTAAAATTGCCAGCTACTGTGTGCCTAGGCAAAAGCTCCAGAGTTCTTAAGTTATGCTTAAAGATATACTAGATACCACAATATTCTACAGGTCAAAGAAAAACTGGACAGGAAAACTCATAAGTATCCAGATTTGAGATTTTGTACCATGGTCAATATGCCAGCAGTAGACAGAGAAGTTATACAGACCAGTAAGAGAAATGAAAGGCAAATGTTATTTTCTTCTCTGAGTGAACTTAGATGTTTATCCTAAAGTGGAACAAGACAACTAAGGAAAATAAGTATGTATAAGCACAGATGCTACACATACAGCCCATTAGATTAGCACAGGCACTGTCTAAGAGCTCTTCCTGATGCTCTGGCTTCTCATGAGACAATGAGTCATGGATAAGTTCTGTGGAAGATCAGTAATTCTGAATTATTTAAATTTATTTATAGAAAATAATAACAAATACAAATATGTAACTATATAATGATTAAACAGTTCAGATTTTAACGATTTTCCTTACTTTAGGCAAGTTTTCCTCAGACAGACTATAAGAAGGCCTCATGTAGGATCGAGAGGTTTTTTTCTTACCTGGGATAGCATAGCCAGCTCATGGTGACATGTGACAGCATTCCTGTTGGCTTCCATAAAATATCTCTGTGTGCGCCTCCGCTCCCGTTCCAGTTTCCTCTCCAAGGCTAGCTGGGATGTGGATAGGCTGTCTAAATATTTCATCATGACATCTGATATCATGGAACTAACTTCTACAATATCTGGACGGGCTTCTGCATCAGGAGTGAGGCACCTAAGAACACAAAGTATTGTAACAAAGGTCATCGATGCGATGGCATGGCCGTTCAGGGATGTCAAGTTCAATGCAACTGAGTGTCTATCTGGAATCTGTACCCAAAAGCAGCTGGGACAAGGCGAGCATCAGACAAGGCCCTGAGTCCAGCACTAATCAAAAGATATCTGAACTCTGGGAAAAGGGGATAGTTATAGGGCTTTGCACTTGGGCTCATTGCCCAGGGTTATAGGTAGGCCTTGAATTCCAGGTCTCTTCTCCTATATGCTTGACTACTTTCCAGAATTATAGCCTACTCACTAGTCAGCAAAACAAATAGGGCCCCTTTAAAGCAAGTTAAGGAAGGAAAGTTTCTAGGAGGTCACAACTTTTTTAACCTTTTCCAGCTATATCTAGTCAATATTAATACAACATAGTTAGTAGAGGACTTTACAAGACACAGACAAATATACAATACTTAGAGGTGTGAAATGTTTATAGAGTCAAAAGTAAACTCCTTCCACTCAGGAATCTGAGTCAGGATGATCATATGCTTGGGGCCAACAATTAAAAATGTATTTTTAATTTTTTAAGATTATAGCTTATTTTGCCATATAAAAGAACAGTTCACAAACTTCTACAATCTGAGCTAAAAGTGAAAAGCTGATGTGTGAAAGCTGATTAAATATAAAACAGAGAGCATTTTGGTCTTTCTTACAACTATTGGGATTCTCATTCCTTTCTAGGCCAACAAAGGTGTTTGCACTCATTCTACCTGATGAACTTCATTTCACTGGGTCTTGTTGATGAGGATCTTATATTAATATTTTGTGTTTTACTTCTGATAATATAATTTCAGGGGCACGGAGATGACTTAAGTTGGAATACACTGTTATGAACAGTCTTCATTGGAATATGTCCTCAATTTTTCTTAAGAATTTTTGCTTAAATAACTTGACACATTGAATGCTGATGTTTCTGTAGTCTTCAGGCAGGAAATATTATCAGGCATGGTGAAGTGAGTGCCATTCACATTTCATCTAGCTACTGTCAGAAGGCCATTAACACAGCCAGGAAGTCGACTGGCAAGATCACTGCACTGTTTGCGTTTCAGTTTATAAACTGTTGCATGATGGGATTTTAATGTTCTAATCTATCACTACACTGCAAACTTCCTCAGGGGAGAAGGAGGCTGTGCCCCTTCACAAAGACCTTAAATAACATTTAAGATGCAACCTAGCTTCTGAGAACTATTCAGTGAATGACCTGCTGAATTCATGAATGGGTGAACACAGCCTAAATCCTACACAATTTTCTTATCCTTAATCAAGATGTCTAGACACAGGCATGTGAACTTCCAGAAACACACTAGCGAGAGTTCCCATGGAGCTCCATTGCTCTCTTGAGAATCTCAGACACCTTCTTCAGAGACACATATATTCTAAGGACTGGCATGGAGTACTCTCTAAAGATTCCCCAACCAAATAAGCATAAAATCATATTCTGGGGAAGGACCCTAGATTATTGCTTTTATTCACCAAAATCATGCTCTAGTCATAGATGAGATGCAAAAAATTGCAAGGGATACTGTTCAACTGTCTTCATGTCATGTTTTTATGAAACAGAGTTGAAGGCAAGGCGAGCCTGTAAGGACTCCATTGTTATTAGAGCCCATAGCTGCCTCTCTAATCACCACATGTAGGAGGAGCTAAGGTGGGAGAAGTACAGAGAGAAAGAGGAGGAGTAAGGAGGAGAGGAAGAGGAGGAAGAGGAGGAACTAGGAGAGAGGAACGAGAGAGAGGGGAACAGGGAGGCAGATGTTCACATGTCTGTAGAAGTCAAAGGTAGTTGGTATATCTAGGTTGGGTATTGGGTTACACTTCTGATTGTATGGGCATCTTGTTACTGATCATTACCAAATATATAAGCTTTTGGATAATTTAAGCATTAGAGTCTCATTTTCCTACTGGGCCCGCGTGGAGGGTGGGATGGTCTGAGCAATGCCCAGCCTTGTGGAGACAGCGTGGAAGATTGGGAGAGCCATCTCTCATGCTGGTGTCTCTTGTGGGTGGCAGGGCTGGTGTTTCTGGCTGGCCGTTTCTAGCTGCAGTGTGCACGTGGCCTCCAGCCAAGAAACATGGCGGCTGGGCTAGGCAGAGCCACTGCAGCTTAAATAGTTGGTTTGACCAGTGACCGATTTTTTAAAGAATTACTTCAACAACCACATCTGCTTGAAAACAAAGCACCAGACAGCTTATGCAGCTAGGCATAAAACAAAACTCACACACTTGGAATTGGTAGTGCATGAAAGGAAATATTCTTCCTTGCAAAAGGAAAGTAAGATGGGAAGCGCTCAGCCTTGCTACTTCCGTGCAGCTCCAGCGTGCACTAATTGGTAAAACCAGCAATGCTGGGACCAGGCTGAGCAGTAAGATGCCTTCTAGCTTGTTCCAGACTCTTCAGCACTGCTAAATAAATCTCCCAATTTATAAGATCTCCTATAAAAGAAAAGTTTCAATAACAAAATGTGTGAATAGAAATGCAAATACTGCGGGCAGCGCTTGATAAGAATGTACAAAGTAAAACTGGGGTGCTGGAAACTCAAGAAATGAGGTGTGTGTGGCTGGAAATAACACAATTTTAAGGATAACTGTAAGAGCTGCCGCTGATCTATAAGCCATTGGTCAGGAGGCTGAGATAGGAGGATAATGAGCCCAGGCCAGCCTGGCTTAAATAGCGGGATTCTATCTAATAGAAAAAAATCACTAAATTATTATCAGGTATAGTGGTTGTTTTGTATTCCAAGGCTCTGTCTAGTTGCTAGCAACTGGCTCTGATCCTAATAATTTGCTGAGTTGTTAATGGTTATATATACATATAGATAGATAGATAGATAGAGAGAGAGAGATGGAGATAGAGAGATACAGATTATATACACATATATGAAACTTACACTAATATTTGGAAGAAAATGAGAAACTAAGAAAATGGCAAATCAGAAATTATTCTCTAATGCTTGTGGAACTTAGTTTTCAACAGTATAAATTCAAAGCAAATTAAATATGAAATTGCATTTAACACACAATAGATTTTGGCTTGAGGTTTTCTAGGGATAAAAGTTTCCCAGTGTAAATGTTGAAAATGAAGAATCTTGAATAACTTTAAATGAAAGTAATGTCTGCTACAGCATATGCCCTGCAATCTTAATTTATAGTTAGCTATAAAGTTAAATTGCCAGGTCTAACTTACTGTCATTTCTTAATATTTTAAATTATAAACACCTTGAAAAACATTTGATCTGGGGGCTGGATCAGTGGATAAAGAACTTGTCAACAAAGGAGCAAGGACCAGAGTTTGGATCCCAAAAACCCATTTAAAAGACACATTTAGAAGCCAGAGAGAAGGGAATCTCCCAGACAAACTGGCCAACTAGACTCAGCTGCTGCTTCACAAAAGAGGCATCAGGTCCGCACTGAAGGAGCACACAAGCAGTATCAGGAATGGCAGAAGAAGCAGGCGGCAGTGGTGGACCCTGTATTCTCTTAAGTTTCATCATTTACCTGTAAAATCTTTTAGATTGTCTATGACAATACCTGTACAATCAATACTTAGAGATACTTTTCAGAAATAATGCAGAGTAAATTATTTTGTAAATTGGTGAGTTCTGGGTTCCACTGAGAGACTCAGACTCAACAAATGAAGTAAAGAATGATTTAAAAAGACACCAAGCATCAACAATGAACTCTAAACACATGTGCCCAACACGTGCACCAGCATATATGTGAACAAAAATATATACATGCACACAAACCACAATGCCACCACATACTTATTTAAATGCAAAGAAATAGCAACAAAGCACTGGAGTCCCCAGTACGTGCCATTCATGGAAACATCTTGATGCCAGTGAACTCAGGACATACCATGAAGCCCGCTCCTACAGCTCCCTTCTAAGGCTTCCTCCAGACAGCCATTGCTAATCTTGGAGTGTATTTCATGATGGTGGCCTGTCTTTATCTTGCTGGTGACATTTACCCTTCTCCCGGTCTTGAGACCAGGGTTTCAGTCTCTTAGAAAAAGGCAGAAATGTGTCCATCTAGAGACTCTAGGACTCTTGACATCCAAAATAGAAAAGATTTGGTTCAGCTTGATGGAGCAGAGGGATAATGTTGGTGCTGTGCAAGCACCAAGATGGCCTTGACAGTGACACAAGTTATCAGCCATAACCTCTCAAGACAGTGTTGACTGGGGGTCTGGTCTATGCCAGGCACTGCTCTGCTACTAACTGGGTCAGAACCAATGTAGCAAGTGTCTGCTCTCAAGTCTAGTTACTGAGGGAGACTGAAGCACACAACAGCAAGCATGTGTGCTCATGTGTGATATTTTAGGGGCATCAGCTACTTTTTTGTTATTGCTATTGCTGTCACCAAATATTAATACCTGACCAAAGAACAACTTAAGGAATGAAGGAAGGGTTTACTTCTGCTCCTGAGTAAAGCAGGATACAATCCACCACGGTAGGACAGCACAGTGGCAAGAGCATGAGGCAATGAAACCTGAGCTGCTTCTGGTCTAGCTTCTGGTAAGATTCCTGTTCCTTCCTGAAACCTCAGAGGTAACTCAGGAGCTCTGCCTACAGCACTCTAGAGCTTCTTTAGGCTGTAGGTCCAAGCTCTTCCATTTCTATTCTACAAACCAGTGACACAAAGGTCTACAAACGATGTACTCAGGTTTCTCACAGCAACAGCACTGTCAGTACCAATTTGATGTTTCTCCCCCACCCTTGGTGTCACAATCAAATTACTCAATTTAATTGCAATTGAGTTGCAATTAAAAGCAACTCAAGGAAAGGGGGTTCCTGTTGGCTCATCACGTAAGATGAGATATGATTCCGTATGATGGGAAAGCATGAGATTACACACATTGTGTGAGAAGAGAGAATGCCGGTGCTCAGCTCCCTCTTTCTCTTCAGGACCACATCTCCAGGGACTGCCTATATCTAGGGTTGGACTTCTCTCATCAGTTCAACATTTCTGGAAACTCTTCCACAGATATACCCAAATAGTATGTCCCTGGGGTGATTAAATATCCATTCAAATTGACAACAAAGGTAACAGTCACAGAATTACAGACACAGAGATTTTTAAGTGGGCAGAAAGGCACCTAGGCAGTGGGGTAGTCGGAGTAGTTTCCTGATCTGAGATGCTTCTATGGCAATTCAAGGAAGTGGGGACAAGAACTATGCATGTGTCTGAGATGAAAGAGTTTCAGAAGAAAAAATCAGCAGATGAAAGGTCATGAAGGGAGTAGCTAGAACCTGGAGAGCAGCAGACAGGATCAACCTTAGTGTGAGACAGTCAAGGACAGTTCCTGAAGTCAGGAGGGACGTGACACAGGTCTCAGGGTACAGAGGGCCAATGGCTTTTATTAAACTCCTACTATATTAATGGAGAACACCTCCCATTTTTAGATAACTTAGTATAAAATACAGTATCATTAACTTTTGAAAATATTTTCAGTTTTATCATTGTTCACAGCTGTTTTAGCTTATATGTTACTTTTTCCATATTTGTAAGTATTTTGTTTATTTCACAAAAATAGCTTCTCATACTTTTAACTTGTTACACACACACACACACACATTTTTCGTGTTGGCATAAAGCCTTGTAAATTGGTTTAATAGCTGTACAATATCTCAAGTTCCTCTCAGATGTCCCAGTGGTTTCCAAAAAGTCACTATTACTAAGGATGCTTAAACACCTTGCTAGGTTTGGATTGCCTGGAGAGCCTTTTATAAGTAGTTAGTCATATGCAGTGAATATATACATAGAGGAATGAGGTGTTTTATGGTGGTTTCTTTATTCTTTATGTTGTAAGTTGTGAGAATATTTACCTTCTAATGGTATCTGTCACTTTTTCAGAGTAGATACCTTCTGGCACTGGCTCGTACACAGCCTCCACTATCTGCAAGACAAACAGAAAACAGTAGCAGTTTCAAAGGACCAAGGTATCTATCAGCAGTCATCTGTGGCTACAGTGTGGCTTGCTAATAAATAAAATAACTTTAGACACAAATTTTAATCAGAAATGGAAACATCTCAACAAATAAAAATCGATGCAAATTAGACAGTTCTAGGCTGTAAAATAATTTTATCCAAGCTGAACTAAAGCTAACCTCAGGCTCGTTATAAAGTAATAGGTGGGATGACATAATATGGTGGCTTGTAGGCCTAATGCATGCACTGGAGACGTAGCTCAGTGGGAGAGCACTTGCCTAGCATGTGAAGGCCCTGGGCTCCATCTCCACTACCACAAAGAAACAATAATCAAAAATTTATTTTTTAATTTTATATGACAAATGAATATAACTAAGTAGAAGTTTATTGCAGTGTAATACATATTTAGATGAAAGGACATAAGATAGAATGGGTCATGTAGGAAATCAAGTAGTATACGATTTGAAAGGACAGTGGTGTAAGTCACAAGGGTTTGTGAAGAACAGGATATATCTATTAGCATTAGGAGACCCCTTTGTGCCCAGTGGCCTACTTTAGTAGCCAAGGAAAGCATGTTGGTGCTACAGAAGGGAGGACTCAGAGTCGCCATCTGATAAAGGATGCATCCTGCAGCCCAGACATCAGCCTTCTCTCCATACGGCTCACTCTTCAGGACCTCTGGGCTGAAATACATAAGGGACATTAATACATACTACAGGACTGAAAATAAACTGGCACTGGAATAAGTCCAATTTTCAAGTTGGCGGTGTTGATATAAAAAACAAGTCAATAGACATTAAAATGGCCACTAATGACTTTGCACTGTACCCATGCTTCTCTCAATCCTTCTTGGATAGTGTCTCCTTGCAGTTGACAGCAATTAACACAGAAATCCTTCAACTAGTCAGTCTACAGATAGTAAAAGACTGAGGGGTGTTCAGCCCTAAATAAGAAGTATGAATTACACCCTCCCTCTTGAAGCCACGGGGATCTTCACAGAAGAGAGGACAGGAAAATTCTAAGACTCAGAGGCAATGAATTACATTAAATAGAGTTGTTTCCAGACACAAGAGGGCAGAAGTACTTATGAATTTACACTAATTGTGACAGTACACACAAGACCTATACAAGCTCTAGTCAGACAAAATCCTAGCATAGAAGGGGGAAAGAAGTTATAAAAACTCATCACATCAGTATCTGAGGAGCTACCGGTATTTGATTGACACAGGAGAGATGGAGTCTGTTTTCTCTAATGATATTACACCTGGTAGGTCTATCCCACATCAGGGTAGGCTTCGCTGCCAAGAACAGCTAGGCAATATAAACTGGACTGTATGGGGAAAGACAAGAAAAGGAAAGAAAAAAAGAAAGAAAGAAAGAAAGAAAGAAAGAAAGAAAGAAAGAAAGAAAGAAGGGAGGGAGGGAGGGAGGGAGGAAGGAAGGAAGGAAGGAAGGAAGGAAGGAAGGAAGGAAGGAAGGAAGGAAGGAAGGAAGGGGAGAAAAAGTAGAGTTGGGAAGAAAGGGACAGGAAGTAGAGAAGGTGGTTATGGGAGGAAGTAGGGGAGCAGAGAAATAGATTCAAATTACATTGTGTAACATTCTCAAAGAGTTAATAAAAATATTGTTTAAAATACACTTGTACTTGGGGGTTGACAAGTCCAAGGGCTGAAATGGTTCAATCAGTACAGGTGCCTGCAACCAAGAATGATGTTATGAGTTTGATTCTCAAGACCCACTGGGTGAAGGAAAGAGATTGACTAATACGATTTGTGTTCTGACTTTTAAAAATACACCTCCCACATGTAAATGTAAAATATAAATGTAAAAGTGAAATGTTTAAATTTAAAACTAATTAATTACCTGAAATTCTTAATTACTGCTTCAGGTAAACATATCAAAGAGTTTTTTTGAGACTCAGAACATGACTCAGTAGGAAAATGCATGCCTAGCATGTGGGAGATTCCACATTCAATCACCAATACGATAGGGCACAAATAGATAAATGCATAGTGTCCCTTGAACTATGTTGGCCTCAGATGAATCCAGAAGCACAAACAAGCAGTTCAGTCTGTGCTGAATAGTTTTATGTCAACTTGACACAAGCTAAAGTCATCTGAGAGGTAGGAACCTCAATTAATAAAATGTCTCCATAAGATATGCTATACACAAGTCTGCAGGGCATTATTTTTTTAGTCACTAATTGATGGGCCAGGGCACAGCCCATTGTGGGTGATACCATCCTTGGGTTGTAGTCTTGAGTTCTATAAAAAAGCAGGCTGAGCAAGCCATGAGGAGTCATCCAGTAAGCAGCACCTCTCCACGGCCTCTGCTTTAGTGCCTGTCTCCAGGTTCCTGACAGTTTTGAGTTCCTGTCCTGACTCCCTTCAGTGATGTAAGTTTGATGTAAGTGTACATCAAACAAACCCTTTCCCCTCAAGTTGATTTTGGCTATGGTGTTTCATCACAGCAATAGTAACCCTAGCTAGGGCACAGACTGTGGAAGTAACATCCACAAATCACTCAGGTACCATCACATGTCCTGGGTTCATAGTTTCCTGGCAGAGGCACTTTTTCCTAAGCAGAAAGAACTAGGAATCCCAGCATCCCTTCCTATGTTTTAACTTCTTGGACAGCTATGCATATCACCTACAGTTGTCTCTGGTTTCAACTGTGCCTTCTGGCTTTGAAAAACGGGCTATGGAAGTAGCATTGTATCAGGAACAAGTCTCAGCCTAAGAGTCACAGAGCTCTTCCATCCATCCTTCAAGGACCTTACGTTCACTACCAGAAAATGTCCCAAATCACTTTTCCCCTCACAGCCTGCCTGACACAATACACAGGGTACAGAACTTCTCCAAAACAAACAACAAAATAAAAAGACAACACATAATCTATAGCCTAGAGTCTGCAGACCCACGGGCCTGTGTGTCTAACAAATAAATGCTTATTGCTGAAGGTCATGTGATGACCTTTATTCTGTGATAAATAAAAATGCAGGATTGTAATTTTAAAAATGTATGAATGTGACCTCTTCCTTTTCTATCCATCTGACTGTAAGTCGGGTGTGAGGGTGACTACATTTAAATCCATTGTGAGAAATGATAGTATCTACCTTGGGTATCTCTTCTGAAATTACCATGCAACTTCAACAATCTATAAGTGGATTTAATTTAAGAGAGGTTGTAGATTTGGCATTTTCTTTTAATTTAGTGTGAAGGGGAGTGTAGCTCTATTAATAACATTCAGCACCTTGTAGCTTAGCTAGGAACTCAAAATATGAGGCATGGTAGTGCGCATGTGTAACGACAACACAGCTTATTTATCTCAGTGTTATCACTCCCCTTCCTCAATGACACCACAAAGTTCCCAAATCCCAGGCATGACCTTTGCAGTGGGCTAGGAGACTCTCCAGTTCTGGTGCCTGAGGTTGGCCACATGATTGGCTTTGGCAACAGTGATTCAGGAAAAGGCTTGCAAGATATTTCCTCTCTCTTCCCAGCTCTTGAAATCCTGTGAACACACCCATGCAACCTCCCCTATTCCTGCCTGCTGGGTGATGAGCATCTAACTCCACTGGCCCCTCCACAGCAGCTTATTTGAAGTGACACATCGGCTGACAGAGCCTTAGTGGGATGGCCAGCACTGATCCACATGATCCATGGTTGGCTGTGACCAACCCATGTACCAGCATACAATGTATGATGAAGACAGTTAACTGTATGAAGCCTCACACACGCTCCCTCACTCCTAACTTAAGATAGACTTTTCTAAGAAGAATGAAATGAGTGTTGAATCATGATGATACAATTTTCTGGAAGCATCTCTTACATTCAGTGTCTGAACCTTCCTGGCCCTCACAGCCAAAGTTAACAATATGCCCTGCGATCACTTCTGACTTAACCTGCTGGCCTACTGTGAATCAGTCTGTTTAACTTTAGCCTGCTTTTAAGAGGACAGTGTAAAACCCAACCTTACTTGCCTCTAATTCTCCCATATAATCAGCATTTATAGCCTAAGCTACTACAAACTTTAATCCTAACTTTTTTATAGTGATTCATTCTTCTGTGTCCCCGACTTTGAGTAAGGCACACACAAGTGTGTTATGGTGATAATTTGATAAAAGCAGCCGATGGGATGGAAACAACCTGCAGATAGAGTTTGTGTTTGCAGCACTGAATGCTTCAGGGTCCACTGGCATCAGTAGAAGCCAGTGACTTAAATCTTAGTAAAACTCTGCTAAAGATTTCTTTAATTTAAGAGTTTTTTCCTTAATTTTTTTAACATCTTGATTGCAGTTTCCTCCCCCTCCTCTCCTCCCAGTTCCTTCCCCACCTTCCCTCTTTTCCCTCTTATCCACTCCTCTGTTTCTCTTCATAAAAAGCAACCCTCCCTTGGATATCTACTAAGCATGGTATAACAAGTTGCAGTAACACTAGGTACCCCCTTCCTATTGAGGCTGGCTGAAGCAACCTAGTAAGAGAAATGGGGCCCCAAAAGAAGGCAAAAGAGTGAGAGGCAGCCCCTGCTCCCTCTGTTAGGAGTCCCACAGGAAGACCAAGCTACACAAATGTAGCATATATGCAGAGGGCCCATTCAGTATCGATGAGCCCCTGTGAGACCTGCCTAGTTGCTTCTGTGGGTTTTCTTGTGGTTTCCCTCACTACTCTGTCTGATAAAGAGTTTTTGTAAAGTATCCCTCATTCCCTCCCCATGTGATTCTTTCTATACTGTCTAATAAAAGAGAGAACAATTGAAAGACACAGGGAGAGAAGTAAAGAATTCTAATCTGGGCTTGTTCTTGGTCAAACTAATCCAAGAGGAGTCTGTGCGGTTGCTGTTTAAAAGCTCAACCCACATACAGAGCTCAATTTATATGACATTTAACAAAAATAGGAGATCTTTGGAAAAACTGAAAACATCTTTAATTAAGTGTGTAAAACTGCAAATGTTGTACTTTATAGACAATAAAAATGTTCAAGTGAACTTGAAGGTAGTGTAGGGATGAGAACATGTTAAGGAGCTACATGTATTTCACTAAAAAATTCTAGAAATCAAATAAGTATAGTTCATAATCAGCTTGATAGGAAGGGAGGTGGAATAACATTTATCTGAACTATACATATACTACAGCCCACAGCACACACACGCACACACACACAAATATAAACACATAAGCATCACACCACACCACACACATACACACATACAAACATCACATCACATACACACACCACACCACACACATACACACATACAAACATCACACCACACCACACATCACATACATATACCACACATCACACCATACCACACAACACATACACACACCACTCCACACACACACCACACATACAAACATCACATTACACATCACACACAGTACATATCACACACACACACACACACACACACACACACACAACATACCACATAAAGACACCCACATACACATAACCATACCACATACACACACACCACACATGCACACCACATACACACACACAACACAGCACATACATTTGTTCTAGAATGGCAATTTCACAGAGAGTAAAGGCAAAATGGGAGAAAAATGAGTAGGCTTGTTCTAATTGAGAAACAAAGACAAACCATTTCAATTTTAATTTTCCATGAGTGCTCCCTCACTAATATACAATCAATTAAGCTGCTAATTACAAGTAATTTT